CTGGGGTAGTTTGACATAAGACTCTGGCAGTCTAACATCAAACCAACAGGTTTGACATCAAACTCGGGTAGTTTGATATCAATCTGTGCTAGATAGGCATCAAACTCGGGTAGTTTAACATCAAACTGGGTAGTTTGACATAAAACTCTGGTAGTCTGACATCAAACCAACCAGTTTGAGACCAAACTGGGATAGTTTAATATTAAACTTGAGTAGTTTGACATCAAAGTGGGTAGTTGGACATCAAACTCGGGTAATTTGAGATAAAACTCGGGTAGTTTGACATCAAACTCGGGTAGTTTGACATCAAAATCGGGTAGTTTGACATCAAACTGGGGTAGTTTGACATCAAACTGGGGTAGTTTGACATCAAACTCGGGTAGTTTGATATAAAACTAGGGTAGTTTGACATAAAGCTCGGGTAGTTTGATATCAAACTATAGTAGTTTGACTTCAAACTGGGTAGTTTGACATCAAATTGGAATTTAAGGGCACTAAGAAAAATAACTTCGAACAAATTTTAGAAAAATTTTCGACTAAAAAATTCGATTCGCTTCCATTAATATGTAGGCCATTGCCAGTTATTGTTTTTAACATCCCCCCCACCTAAAAATATATTTTTTAAATAACATTCAGCAAATGCACAACTGCAACCGAATTATGTAGGTTAAAAGTTCACTTTCCAAAAAACAAAAAAAAAAAAAACAACCACTCATAAATATTGCAATCCATTGAAATCCATGAATACATTTACACAAAAACTCATTACCTTTCCAGTTGTTTGGTTTTGCAGTATGCTCGAAAAGTGAAATATCGAACTTATTGAAAATTGGATTCGGGTTGTTTCTTTTTTTGTTTTTCATTTCATTTTTCATTGGAAATATTTACGGCTTATTTATGTGAACGAGAAAAAATACAAAAAATATAAAAAATTGAATATTTTATTCATGTTGCGTTTGACTGAAAATTGTTTAAAATAAAGTAAAAATCCCAAATCCATTAGGGAATTGTCGTTTAAAGTACAAACCCTCACATACACAGGCAGCCAGGCAAAAAAGCCGGGTATGATCATGTGACAGAGAAACAACGACAACAATTGGACGAGGTTATGTCAGAAGAAAAAAAAAAAAGACCAGCTCAAATAAAAAAAAACATTAATGGTCATGTGAAAAGTTATAATGGCAAGGGGTGCAATGTGTAGCAAAAAAAAAAAACGTAAGTGTTTGAAGGGTGAGAGTGACTCAACTGGGGTACTGCAAGGGTTATTAGAATATTATTTACAGCATTTCCAAGTCAAAAGACAACAATTGGGATTTCAAATTGGAGAAGTATGATGCCAAACTTAAACATTTGAATATCAAACATTACTGGTTGACACCGAACCTAGCTAGTTTGACGTCAAATCTAACTAGTTTGACATCAAACATTACTGTTTGACATCAAACCTAACTAGTTTGACATCAAACCTATCTAATTTCACATCAAACCTAACTAGTTTGACATCAAACCTAACTAGTTTGACATCAAACCTAACTAGTTTGACATCAAACCTAACTAGTTTGACATCAAACCTAACTAGTTTGACATTAAACCTAACTAGCTTTACCTTAAAATAACTAGTTTGATAACGAACTCAACTAGTTTGACATCAAACCTTGTCAATTAATCATCTAACAATGCTATTTTGACACAAATCGTGATAGTTTGACATCAAACCTAACAAAGTGATATCAAACCTAACAAGTTTGACATCAAGCCTTACTAGTTTGACGTCAAACCTAACTAGTTTGACCTCAAACCTTGTCAGTTAATCATTCAACCAAACTAGTTTGACATCAAAAGTGATAGTTTGATATCAAACCTAATAAAGTGACATCAAACCTAACTAGTTTGACATCAAGCCTAACAAGTTCGATTTCAAAACCCTTAGTTTTACTTCAAACCTAACATGTTTCACAATAAACCTTGCCAGTTTATCCCCAAACCATGCTAATTTGGCATCAAACCTAAATAATTGACATCAAACCTAACAAATTTGACATCAAGCCTGACTAAGTTGATACACTAATTTTACATCAAACCTCGATAGTTCGGCATCGAACCTAAATAGTTTGACTTCAATTCTAACTATTTTGACATCAAACGTAACCAGTTTGAAATCAGAACTGCTAGTTTTGACAACAAACTAAACCAGTTTGACTTCAAACCTAGATAGTTTCTCATCAAACCTAACTTATTTGTCACCAAATCGGAAGCAGAACTCATCTTTCACAAAAATTAGCTTCCATTTTGAACATTTTTTTTATTAAATTTTTCTGGGATCTCAAAATCCCCGAAGGAAACAGTGTACCATTTTTTTTTTTTATTTTTGACCCGTACTTAAAAATTACATAAAACTTATAGTGTTTTTCACATTTAAAATTTGAACAGCAACAAAGCAAAATGATATATGGTTTGTAATAAAACTACTCGTATAAAGCCGTGAATAAAAAAACAAGCATGTCACTTGCAAAAAGAAAAAACATGTCAGTCAAATATGTTTTAACAACCTCACATGTGTAACGAACCAACAAACAAAGTAGCAAAAAAAAATACCCAAAAACAGGTTGAATAGAATGGGAGAGAAAAAAAAGAGGAACCAACAACAGGAGGAAGTCGACTAATAAATTCGTTTGACTGTAAAGTAGAGCTTGGAATTTAAAAAATACAGCTGACTTTAAGGAGATATCCGATGTATAGAAGACCTCAAAGGGTCCTTTCTATGTATCGGAGAACCGAAAGACAAGTTAAAGTGATCTTCTTTCATATCAAACCAAGTGAGTTTACTTTAAAACCTAGACCTGAAACATAGATGGCCAGGCATCAAACCTAGCAAGTTAGACACCAAACTCGGTAGTTTGACATCAAATCTAGTTAGCCAGTCATCAAACCTAGTAGACTAGACCCCAAAGATGATCCGGTGACATCAAACCTTGTTAGCTTGATATCAAACCTAAGTAGTTTGTTATCAAACTTGAGTAGTTTGAGAAAATATCGAGTAACTTGACCTCAAACGAAGAAGTTTGACATCAAACTTAAGAATTTTGACATCAAACTTAGGAATTATGATATCATACTTAGAAATTTTGGCATCAAACTTAAGAAGTTTGACATCAAACTTAGGAATTATGACATCAAACATAGAAATTTTGACATCAAACTTAAGAAGTTTGACATCAAGCTTAAGAAGTTTGACATCAAACTTAAGAAGTTTGACATCAAACTTAAGAAGTTTGACATCAAACTTAAGAAGTTTGACATCAAACTTAAGAAGTTTGACATCAAACTTAGGAATTTTGACATCAAACTTGAGAAATTTGACATCAAACTTAAGAAATTTGACATCAAACTTAAGAAATTTGATATCAAACTAAAGAAGTTTGACATCAAACTTAAGAAGTTTGACATCAAAGTTAAGTGGCTGAAATTAAACTAATGTAGTTTGATACCAAATTTAAGTAGTTTGATACCAAATTTAAGTAGTTTGATATCAAATTTAAGCAGTTTGACATCAAACTTAGGTGGTTTGGCATAAACCAGAGTAGTTTGACAGCAAATCAAGAACTTGACACCACCCTTAAGATATTTGACATCAAACTTAAGTTTGACATCAAACTTCAGAAGTTTGACATAAAACTTAAGTAGTATGATGTCAATCTTGAGTAGTATGACGTCAAACTTAAGTAGTTTAAGATGAAGGCTAAGTAGCTTAACCACAAATTTAAGTGGTTTGACATAAACCCGAGTAGTTTCACCTGAAGGGAAGAAGTTTGACGTCAAACCTAAGTAGTTTGATACCAAATTTAAGCAGTACGACATCAAACTTAAGTCGTTGGACATTGCAGGAAAAAGTTTGATATCAAACCTAAATAGTTTAACATAAGATTAAGAGGTTTGACATCAAACCTAAGTAGTTTGACTCTAAATTTAAGTAGTTTGACATCAAACCTAAGTAGTTAGACATCAAATTTAAGTAGTTCGACATCAAACTTAAGTATTTGGACATTAAATGAAGAAGTTCGATATCAAATTAGGTGGTTTGACATAAACTCGAGTAGTTTGGCCTCAAAGGAAGAAGTTTGACAAAAAACATAAGTAGTTTGACCTGAAGTGAAGAAGTTTGACATCAAACCTAAGTAGCTTGATACCAAATTTAAACAGCATGACTTCAAACTTAAGTAGTTGGACATTGAAGGAAGAAGTTTGATATCAAACCTAACTAGTTTGACATCAAATGAAGAGGTATGACATCAAACCTAATTAGTTGGACATTACATGAAGACGTTTGATATCAAACTTAAGTAGTTAGACATCAAACCTAAGTAGTTTGATACAAAACTTAGGCAGTTTGACATCAAACCTAAGTAGTTTGATACCAAATTTAATCAGTTTGACATTAAACTTAAGTAGTTAGACATTAAATGAAGAAGTTCGATAGCAAACTTAAGTAGATTGACATCAAATGGAGATGTTTGACATCAAACCTAATTAGTTAGACACCAAATTTAAGTAGTTTGACGTCAAACTTAAGTAGTCTGATATAAAACTTAAGTAGTCTGATGTCAAACTTAGTTGGTTTGACATCAAACCTAAACCGATTGACATCGAACCTAAGTAGTTTGACACCAAATTTAACTATTTTGACATCAAATGAACAATTTGTACATCAAACTTAAGTAGTTTGACATCAAAGTTTAGTAGTTTGACATCAATCCTAAGAAGTTTGACATCAAACCTAAATAGTTTGATATCATACTTGAGTAGTTTGATACCACAAATTCAAGTAGTTTGACATCAAATGAAAAAATTTTTGCATTAAAATTGAGTAGTTTGACATCAAACTTAAGTATTTCGACCTCAAACTCGAATAGTTTGAAGAATCATTCTGTATGTGTTTCCAGATTTTAATGGGCTATAAATTTTAAACTAACATATCTTGAAATGTTTTCTTCTTAACTTACCTTCTCGAACATCCTTGTAGGCATCGTCGACATGCGATTCCTTATAAATCACCGAATGAAAGCCAATACTTTGCACAGCTTCGTCATGATGGTCGATGATACTTTTAGGTTTTGCAGCATTTCTTGTAGGATTTTCTGTTGTTGTCGACGTCGTCGTAGTAGTTGATGTTGTTGTTGTCGTTGACGACGACATTGATGAACTATTTGTCTCAGTACTGTGCAACTCTAACGATTGCATTTGTGGTGATGATGTAAAATTTGTTGGAAAATAACGTTTGGCATGTTCAACATAGTAGGCATCACGTTCGGTAATAATTTTACCCTCAAATACACCATCCAATATGGAACCGAAAACATAACTATTACGATCCCCTATCACGTGGCCCTCATATATGTGATCGGTTGATACATCGAGAGGTCCATTGCTATCAATTATCTGGCGAAAAATAAGAGAGAATAGAATAGAAAAAAATATGATGTAAATCTGAGAGGAAGGAAGTGGAAAAAAAGGAAAATGTTATTTCAGAGTGACGAAAGACATCGAACTTCAAATTCGGATAATTCAGGCTTATTTCAAGTATGAGGTAAACTTGAAGAGGTTTGATATCAAACCCAAAACAGCCTGATGTTAAACGAATATTGGCGAGGTTTAAGCTCAAACTTTTGCAGTTCGATATAAGTTGGAGGTGTAAGGTATGAGTTGGAGCTTAAATCTCAGCCCCCATAAACTTTAGGTTTATCAAAAACTATGGAGTCTTCGGAAGTTTGAAATGAAATCACATCTAACACCTTAAACAAAGACATGTTTTAGATGTTTGAAATAAAACTTCATTTGGAAATTATCAAAAAATTGGAAGATTTAAGTTATGTTTCAATAGATCTATGTTAGCAGGGATATTTATCGCAAAAAATGCTATTCCGACTTACCTCTAACTTATCGCTAAATGTTTGTAAATCACGTTTTAATCTAATATGGAAATCTCTTCCATGTGCTTGAAATTTTAAATGTACAAAATGATCTTTGGTCACTGATCGCCGGGCTCTGTGGTGACTAGCGCGTATGTGTTGATGATCATAACTAAGTGTTTCATAATGCGATATGTATTCGTTCAAACGGTTGTGACCTGCAAAGAGACAGAAACAGAAAAGAGAGAAACAATTAAAATCGGGGTTTTACAAAATGTAAGAAAATTTTTAAAAATATGGAGATTCATTGTGTATCTAACAAGTACAAAAGCTGTAAGTTCGGCCCGACCCTCCACTTTTGGAAACGAATATAGCAACTTTCAAAAAATAAAATCCGTTAAAAAATCTGATAAAATCTTAAAAAATTCTGAATATAGCCGTTATATTGGGGTCTATACGACGACGTATACCTGCATAGGTAAATTTGTGATAAACCTTTACAAAATTCAAATACGAAACTTGAAAAAAAAAATCGATGAATAATGTTGCTAAAACCATCAAAATGCCTAATATCGGGAGGTACCGTTATATGGGGCTATACGAAGACGTGGACCTGCACAGACAATTTTCTGTCATAGGCTGTAGTTATGCATTACGAAATACAAATGCCAAATTTGAAACAATTCCGGTTAATAATGTCACTAAAATCATCAAAATACCGAAAATAGGGAGGTAACATTATATGGGGGCTATACGAAGACGTGGACACAATTTTCTGTCTTAGGCTGTAGCATACACTACGAACTTCAAATATCACATTTGAAACATCTCCGGTGAATAATGTCACTAAAATCATCCAAATACCGAATATCGAGATGATGGGGGCTATGCGAAGACTTGGACCTGCACGGACAATTTTCTTTCTTAGGCTGTAGTTATGCTGTAGTTATGCAAATACCAAATATGAAATATTTCCGTTGAACAATGTCACTTAAATCACCAAAATACCGAAAATAAGGAGATACTATTATATGGGAAATATACTAAAACGTAAACCTACATGGCCCATTTTCAATACCCAAAAGTCCTGCAGACGTAATATACATTTGAGTAAAATTTTATCATCCTACTTTATTTCGTTCGGAGGCTAGAGTGATTTCCACAGACGGACGGACATCGCTAAATCGACATGGAATTTTATGCTGTTCAAGAATATTTATACTTTGTGGGGACTATGTAGTATAGATACATTGTCCGTGCCCTTAAATATACTGGAGATACATTATCAAAGCCTTAATATACTTAATTCGTACCCTGAAAATGCTGTAGATACATTATCTGTACCCTCAAAATGCTGTAGATACATTATCCACGCCAAAAATATATTCCAGATGCATTATCCGTACACTCATAATGCTGTAGATACATAATCCGTACACTCAAAATGCTGTAGATACATAATCCGTACCCTAAAATATACTGTAGATATGTTATCGTACCCTCAAAATGCTGTAGATACATTATCCGTACCCTCAGAATACTGTAGATACATTATCCACGCCTAAAATATACTCTAGATACATTATCCGTACCCTTGAAATAATGTAGATACATTAACCACGCCTTAAATATACTCTAGATACATTATCCACGTCTAAAATATACTCTAGATATATTATCAAAATACTGTAGATACATTATCCACACCTAAAATATACTCTAGATATACTATCCGTACCCTCAAAATACTGTAGATACATTATCCACGCCTAAAATATACTCTAGATACATTATCCACGCCTAAAATATACTCTAGATACATTATCCAAACCTAAAATATGCTCTAGATACATTATCCGTACCCTCAAAATAATGTAGATACATTATCCACGCCTAAAATATACTCTAGATACATTATCTGTACCCTTAAAATACTGTAGATACATTATCCACGCCTAAAATATACTCTAGATACATTATCCGTACCCTTAAAATACTGTAGATACATTATCCACGCCTAAAATATACTCTAGATACATTATCCACGCCTAAAATATACTCTAGATACATTATCCGTACCCTCAAAATACTGTAGATACATTATCCACGCCTAAAATATACTCTAGATACATTATCCGTACCCTTAAAATACTGTAGATACATTATCCACGCCTAAAATATACTGTAGATACTTTATCCGTACCCTCAAAATACTGTAGACATATTATCCGTTCCCTCAAAATACTGTAGGTACATTATCCACGCCTAAAATATACTCTACATATATTATCCGTACCCTCAAAATGCTGTAGATACATTATCCGTACTCTCAAAATGCTGTAGATACATTATCTCTGCCCTCAAAAGGCTGTAGATACATTATCCGTGCCCTCAAAATGCTGTAGATACATTATCTCTGCCCTCAAAATACTGTAGATACATTATCCACGCCTAAAATATGCTCTAGATACATTATCCGTACCCACAAAATACTGTAGATACATTATCCACGTCTAAAATATACTCTAGATAAATTATCCATACCCTCAAAATGCTGTTGATATATTATCCGTACCCTCAAAATACTATAGATACATTATCCACGCCTAAAATATACTCTGGATACATTATCCGTGCCCTCAAAATTCTGTAGATACATTATCCGTACCCCCAAAATGCTGTATATACATTAGCCGTACCTTCAAAATACTGTAGATACATTATCCATGCCTAAAATATACTCTAGATACATTATCCGTACCCTCAACATGCTGTAGATACATTATACAAAAATACAGTAGATGCGTTATCCATTCCTAAAATATACTCTAGATACATTATCCACGCCTTAAATATGATAAATATGTAGATACATTATTCCCACCCTGAGAATACTATAGATAAATTATCCATCCCTAAATTACCCTTAAATTAAGCTCCTCGGAATACCCACTCTTTCTTACAACTTGCAACAAGTTTTTTTCCCTTTAACACCTGCCCAATAAAACCATTTTCCCCATTTTTACTACTTAATCGTTGCTCTCCTCCTGTTCTTCTTCTTCATCTATTCCTTCTTTACTTTCTGGCAATCTACGAAAAGAAAAAAACTCGGTCAGCATTAGAATTTATGTGTTTTTCTTGGCAAATTTATGGGCCCAAAGTCAAGTCAGGCCAAAAACAAATGAAAGTGTTTAATCCCTTTTAGCCTGCAGAGCATATATCAGGCCACTGAGGAAGGATAAATAATTTAATGCCATACAATTAGATTGATAAACGTTTTGTGTGTGTGTGTGCGAGTGTACACTTTTGTTGTTGTTCTGAAATTTGTTTATTCCGTTTTTTTGTTTTTATTATAAATCAATGTGTAAAATGTAATATACCGGAGATAAATAAATTTCGTATTTAATCACAAATTAGAAAAAAAGGAACGTTGAGATAAATTACAGTCATTTGTTTGAGATTTTTACGGTACTAGGGGATAATAGGAGAGAATGTAGAGGAAGGAGGGACTGTAGAGAAAGGGAGTACTACATCGAGAAGATCTGTAGGAGGCCTTATAACAAAAGGCATGATATTGGTTTCTATATTTTGTAATAACTTTATGAGGTCTTACATCCGTAAAACGGTGGCGAAAGATCTGCGTTATAAAGAAGAGAGGATGGGGGTGTCCTTCTTGCATATATCTGCAAGGCATTCTAATAAAATATCCTGTGAAACTCAACAGATACCAGAGATATGTCAAAAAATCGTGAGTACTAAAAACATGTAATTTGTGCACCATTTTTTTGTATTCCGTTTCCAAGGAACACAACTTTTTAACGGATCTAAATTTTTCAATAAAGTAAATCGATTTTTAAAACAGAGCATTAAATGGATGACTGCTAAAAATTATGTGCATATATCTCAGCAAATACCAGAGATATGGTCAAACATAACCAAGTACCAAAATGTTGCATTTTCAAAATTAGTCTCAGTTGTCATAACTTAAGGGCCATTAATTCAAAAGTATACAATATATTTTGAAGATTTAACATGTTGCTGAAAGAGGAATTAGTTAATTTTAAATAAATGTCATTTCGATGCTGATATCTCAACAGGTAGTGAAGATATCGGAAAATTTCCGAGTAACTCACTTTGCAACTATGTATGCAAATTTTTGCGCACTGCCCTTCCAGAGCCCATAACTTTTCGGCCAGTAAATATTTTTTATTTATATATCACAATATGTAACTCAGAATATCTAATGAAGACTTCATATAAATTGTGTGGATATATCTCAACAAATAGCAGAGATATGGCCAAAAATACACAAGTACGCAAAATGTAAAATTTTCAAAAATAATTCCATAATGAGTTTTCTAAACCCGTATCATCTAAAATAACTATTGATATTTTCTGAATTAATATTTTTTTGAGGAACTATTCTCTTCCCTTTCATTTCATGCCAATTTGGTTAATATAGCTCATAAAATAAACGATATATCGGCAAAAAACCCCTATAACTTGAATTTCAAAATACCACTCATTTTTTGCGCAATCATTTTCAAAGACCACCATTTTTCAATCCGATGTTGGTTTTTCTCAATGTTGTATTGTTCGTAAAGGGAATCACCTCTTCTTTCTTTCATAAAAATATTTTAGACATATCTCAACAAATACGCAAGATATCGGACAAATATTCCATTGCCAAAAGTTCCAAAGTTTTGCGAAATTTTTCATCAGCATTTTTAAAGAACTACAACTTTACACTTATATCGTCGAATTGCAAAATTACATACGAATTTTTAAGAATGATATCTGTTCTCTGATCCACATACATTTTGTAAATGAATCTCAATAAATACAAAAGATATAGCCAAAAGAAGCAGTTACCCAAAAAAAATATTTTTTGGAAATTTTTCATTATTTCAATTTTGGATCCATAAGTTCTCAGGTAATACACAATTTTGATTAAAATGGATCTGGGTTTAGAGGATTCTGTCTTGAGATTAATAAGAAGAACTTCATGAAAGAACCTCAATAAATATCAGGGATATCGCACAGCAAAATGTATGCATATACCTATAACACTGGCTTAATTAATTTTACCGTAATCACTTTTCATTTACATCTCCCCGTTTTTAGAGTTAAACTTCAAAAAAAAAAAAAAAAAATGCTTCACTTACAATGAGAAATAGCTCATCCAAAATTAGTATAAATTCTGAGATATATTACTCAA